GAGAGAGAGAGAGAGAGAGATCCTCCTAAACTCTTTCTTGGAGAGGCCAGAAATTCAACTCTACACTGAGCTTTAGGGAATACACTTTGGCCCCACAGATCAAACCTGAAGTTTGTAGGTCCTGGTGAGTTTTGTGACCACAAAAACACAAAGGACATTAAAGCCCCTGGAAGCCCAGCCGAGCTCCTTCAGACCCAGACACCTTCCAAGATCACCCCAGCAAACAGCAAGCTGTGACATACCAAGACTCCTGTCGCAAGTGATGTTCTACCCAGTCTGGCTCTAAGTATTTATGGACATTTATCTTTACATACACTTTATATGCACTCATTCTGTCTTTCCAGTTAAGTAAAATTCTCCAAGGGCAGATGGTATATGTCTTTTATCATTTTTTTTTAAAATCCACAGTGTCTAATATGGTGCCTTCTTATAGAAGTGTGCCTTTCATATCCAGCTTAATTAACATCAGTTGTAAATTATTCTCTTATAAGAGGAATTGTGAACATGAATTAATTATATAGACATACTTTAAAAGCCCAAACTATATAAAAGGCTGGTATTTGCCCCTTCAACTTAGGAGACTGAATTTTTTACAATCATTTACATCACTTTGAAGTTATTGAGGATTCCAAGGAGAGCCCCAAGTCAGGAATTTATATCATTTACAAATGCAAAGAGAATGCTAGGTGTCCTAAACAAATCTGTGAGGTAACCCTATATCTAACTTTACTAAGTCATATGAGAACAGGCCTATATCCAATCTCCTTAAATAAAAGGCTGATTTTGTGCTCCATAGAGTGTATGACTTTCTTTTTAACTTGATGACTTTTAAAAAACGTGTGATAAATGAAAGTTAATTAGAATCTTAACAGACCACACTATTCCATGAAGATTCTCATCTTTAAAAAATTGTGTTTTTTTTCCAAGCGGTTCTTCATCATTTTGTGCATATCTTCCTTGTTCACTTTCTATTATAACATTAAATGTCATTTTATGCTGAGAAAAAGGTCATTAATTGCATTAAAAGAAACCCCTGCTTTCTAATATTGGAAAAACTGTAATAATCCAGAGTTTAAACAATTCCCAAAGTTTATTTTACAAACACCATTCTAAATATTGCCTAATTTGGAGTAGGTATTTTACATAAAACTCCAATGAACTTATATGAAAAACATATTCTGATGAATTAGAAGTCTTGAGGATTAGCACTTTTTATACCATGTTCTTTATAATACTGGAGGAGGATTATTATAGATATCGGTGTCAATATTATTTTATCTTATTTTTCATTTTGGGGGGAGAGTACTGGGAATTGAACTCAGGGGCACTCAACCACTGAGCCCCATTCCCAGACCTATTCTGTATTTTATTTACCAATAAATAAAATACTGAGTTGCTTAGCACCTCGTTAAGTCGCTAAGACTGGCTTTGAGCTCTCGATCCTTCTGCCTCAGCCTCCCGAGCCGCTGGGATTATAGGTGTGCATCACCGCGCCTAGCTGTCATGATTATTTTAAGCTCTGGCTTTATCAGCTATAAGAAACATTTTATTGCTGTACAAATTGTCGTTGCCTCTGGCTTTCCAGACATGTCATGGTGCCACTGCAATCCTTGAACCCACAGGAGGTTCAGTGAGGCTGGAGGTGTAAAGCATACTCCACAAAACCAGGGGACATAGGCATGGGGTTCCCAGTTCCCTGTCCTCACCACAGACTGACCCTCCACTTCCTTTTCTTCCCAGAATCACTGTTTAAGTAAGTTTCTATTATTGGCATGTGTCATTTTAGAGTTAATGACAGCTGGGCATGCCTGTAGTCCCAGCTACGGGGGAGGCTGAGGCAGGAGGATCACTGAAATTCAAGATCGCAAGATGGGCCTGGGAAACATAGTGAGATTCCCCAACTCAGAAACAAAAACAGAAAAAGAATTAATGACAGAGTACTGACAGAAAGGGAGGTGCTGGGTTATTAGCCATGTGTTATCATTCTGACTCATAGAAGCTTGGAAGGCTCCAAAACTCCACATTATTTCCACAGTCTGTGGCTGGCTTGTCTTTTCCCAGGGTCTATTATTGAGGGACCATCTGTGTTGCCCTATCAGGCTCCTTACCCTCTGTTTGCTCACCTCCTCACCCTCTTCTCTGGAGAGATGGAAGGGTGTATCAAAGCGAGAGAAAGCGTCCCCTGCTCTCTAGGTTGGTATTGTTTCGGCACCTTAGATACACCCATTTTAATTAATTATGAAGTATATGTTTCACAAGATAGTTCTGTCTCATGCAGGAGGCCCTCTCTTTTTTTAAGGAAAAATTGTGAAATTAACATGGTGATCAGGACACCAGGGGCGAGAGGCAACCTTGCAGCATTGTATGCATACTCAGTTGCATTAAAAAAAAAGATTAATAAAAGGAAGACCTTAAATTCATTTCCAAAGTGCCATGAACACTCACCTGGGCCACCGCCACTTGCACTGTGCCTCTTTATAAACTATAAATCACCATGTGGATCTGCTTCATGGGAGAATTGGGCTGCATCCTGGAGATTCTCCAGTGAACAACCAACAGAAATGCTTACTGAGAAGGAAGATAGACCTCCCCCAGAATCTGAGTCTTTCTAGGAGCATTCACTATTAAAAATGGTGTCAGAGCCCTGCCTAGGTCCTAAACCAAACAGGAGGATTTTACAAGAGTTGTTTAAGATAAACTTATTTGGCTACAGTGTATCTTAGAGTTAGAGGCAGGAGCCAGGGAGAGAGAAAGTTAAGTCAGGGACAAGGACACACATTTGTACTGCTTAATGACAGTTGCAGGGCAGGATGCCCCTGTGTTGAAAAACAGTTTTCACAAAACAACATCCACAGATTGGAATCTCAAGGCCCAGGCACCCCCACAGTTTGATTCAGCAACTGTTCAGAGTTTCTACTGTCAGAGGTGCTTTTATGAAATGCAGGACCATCTATATCCAGGAGGCTTCTTAAAACATAAACTCCTGGGCCCTACTCCAGGCCTACTGAAACAGAATCTCCCAGGGGTCAGTCGGTCTGTCTGTCTGTCTCCCTCCCTCTCTATGTTTTAATTTCGTACTGGGGATTGAACCCAGGGTCACTTTAACACTGAACTATATCCCCAGACCTTTTATTTTTTGAGACAGGGCCTACACTAAATCGCTGAGGCTGGCCTTGAACTTGCTATCCTCCTGCCTCAGCCCCCGATGTCACTGGGATTATAGGCATGTGTCACCACGCCAGACTTGAACTTCTGACTTGTAAGCAGGTTTTTCTAGGTGATTCTTAAGCACACTGAAATTTAAAACCACCAGAGTCCTTTGTATTTTTACTCATTGATGGATCTGAGAGCCTAGAACAGCCATCCACACAGCTCAATAAATACCTGTTGAATGAATGGAGGCCCTCAGGGTTTGTGGCACTCAGAGGCTCTAATTACGGATCTCTTCCAGACCATCTAATTCAAAATGCTATCATAAAACAACTATAATGTCATATCCTCCAAAATACCTTCTTAGCTGGGTTATGGGGGAAGGGGGAGCTCTCCTATCTCTTCTGAACAGTCTTAGCAAATTGTCTTCACCTTAACAGGCCTCTCCTTGCCTGCACTGAACTACAAAAGCTGTGTCATAGAAAGCAGCAAACCAGCCTCCATAGCTCTGCCACCTTTAAAGAAAGGAAAAAAGAAAAATAAAAGGGGGGGGGAGAGGTACTAATAAAACTAATTAAGACAAATCAGAACCTAGATTCAGCATGACTTTGTCATCTATTGATAACTGAATAACTGAAGCTGGGCAAACTTCTATAAATCATCCTCTATGTTTGTAGATTGCATAGCCAAAGGATCAAATTTCTTCTATAATCATTCAAACCACAGGAAAGAGAAGGCAAATACAATCCTGCTATTTTATATATATACTGTGCTAAGACTATATTTAATGATGTATTATATTAACAACTTTCTGTATCCTTCAATAGGTGAAAAGATAAAGAAATGGTGGCACATCTACCCAAGGGAATACTACACAGCAATATAAAGGAAAAACTATTGACACATATTACATCAATGCATATGCACTTACGTATTATTGCAAATGCATTATGTAAATTAAAAGCCAACCTCAAGAAGTTACAGATATGTGACTATTTTTTATAACATTCAGGAAAATTAAAAACTATAGGGTGGGAGAATAATTCCTTAGTTGCCTGATCAAAGTTAGAAGGTGGGAGATTAATTAACTACAAAGGGATAGCACAAAGGAATTGGGGGAACGATGCAATGATTCTGTTTCCTGATAAAATGGGAGTTCCGGTCTCAATGTGTTAAAATACCTAGAACTATCCACCAACATAAGTAAATTTACTGCATGTAAATTGTTTTTAGAAAGTACATGTATGAAGACATGAATTGATGTGAACATACTTTGTATACAACCAGAGATATGAAAAATTGTGCTGTATGTGTAATAAGAATTGTAATGCATTCTGCTGTCATTTATTTTTTAAAAATCAATTAAAAATTTTTAAAAAAGTATAAGAAAGAACTCACTGCTGGGTGCATTGGCACATGCGTATAATTCCAGAGTGTCAGGAGATAGAGACAGGAGATTGCAAGTTTGAGGCCAGCCTCAGCAATCTAGTCAGGCCCTAAACTACTTAGCAAGACCCTATCTTAGGAGAGAGAGAGAGAGAGAGAGAGAGAGAGAGAGAAGCTAAGTAGCAGAGTACTCCTAGGTTCAATCTCTAGTACTGCAAAACATAAATAAATAAAAAAATAAGCACCCACTTAATCCACAATATAAGCTCATTCAGGCTCTGGGGGCCCCCTGAGTCACTTTCTCTTCCTTAATCAATGTGAGAAACACAAGACAAAGTGGTTTGGAGTGTGTGTGTGTGTGTGTGTGTGTGTGAAAGAGAGGGGTGCTGCACCTCAGGGTCTAAGCTAAGTGCTAAGTACGATTTAACTGGGACCAAATGTAGCATGTAATAAACTGGAAAACATTTTGTAGAAAACTCCTTTATTATAGTGCAAATAACTTTCAGCAGTGACATAATGTAACAATACATATAGCAACATTTTACACCACGCAGTAAATAAGAAAGTGTTTCTTTGAAAATATGTCATCACAGGAACATTTTTCCTACCTTAATGCTGGAAAATGCCAAGGCTGCTTCTCTCAAGGCAACAGGGCTCATGCCCTCTTTTTGGATATTTTCTTTTAAAGACAAATGGAAAGACTTGCCATTTAGCAAATAAATCATCAATCCTAAGAGTGATCTCTTAGGAGGGTCTGAACTGAGGCTGGTAAGATTTGAAATGGGGTTTCAAAATTTATAAAAATAATTTAAAAACAATTCTGGGACCACCCAGAGAGCAGAAATCACTTCCATTAGGTTTTAAGTAGATATACATTTTCACTTTAATTTTGCTGCAGAAACAGATTGTCTAAAGCCTGCCTTTTATTTCCCCAGAGCCTGATTGTTATTCCTTGGTTTGGGTTATTGCAAAACTAGGGCTCTGGTCAGAAATATCTCCTTACATACGCAAATACTTTCCTGTGAAGCTTTAAATTGCACTTTCAATCCTGAAATTCCCACCTTAGACCTCACAGGCAGAGGAGAGGGTGTGAACATGTTCCAGTTTCCAGCTAACCATTAGGATGGCGGGATTAGCCCTGTACTCATTTAGCTATACCTAAATCAAGTCATCACATCACTGAGATTAATCCCAGTAGATTTATCCAAGAAGTTCCCATTGACCTCATAGGAAAAGGAAGGGTTAACACGCATTTTCACACTAAGCTGCCTAAGGGCTTGGTTGCTAATGAGTTAGCTGATAGGCAGAGAGAACACAGCCACTTCTAATCAGTTATACTCCCTGCTCCTCTGGTTTCTGCTGAATTATGCAGTGGGTAGGAAAAGTTGACCACTCAAAAGCATCCTCCCCTGGGATTGTCCAGCATAAGTTGGATCAAAATCCCTACAAAAATATTTCAGGGTGCCCTCTAAGTCTCTCTATAGATACTCCTTAAAAATGGCTTTATAAGCCATGAGAAGTTAATCAAAGGCCTGAAAATACCTGGAGCCACCCGAACAGCTCTCCTGGCTGAATATGGCTAAGTCAGCTGGTACATAAAGCTTTTTAATGTGCAGCCAGTGTTGTTGGATAAAATATCTTCTATAACACCATAGAACTGTGCTAAACAGTTTCAAAGTTGAGAAAAATCCAAATATATCACCTATAAAAATTCACGATTTTAGTTTGCTTTGTTTATCTTAGACTTTGGTACTGAAACACTGTCTACCTTTTCAGCACGTGAAAAATGACATAGCCACTTCCGTGCCTCTGCATGTCGTGTAAAAAAAAACAAACTCAAAAGCCAAGCAGGACAAGGACGTGTCATAACAAGACGCAGTATGCTGTACAAACAAAACCTAAATTATATATAAATATACCCCCACCCCAGCACCCCTTTCTTCCCCCACTACCTGGCCAAAGCAATGCCAAGGGTCCTTCTCTCCAGAGCCAATGCACCTTGTGAGGTTCAGCATCCAACCATCCCTGGCCCTGTGGTGGCATTTGCAGTCTGCAGCCTCCTGCTGGAGCTGCTCCCAGGCTTGATCAGTTTTGCAAGCGCAGGGCAACTCCTAAGGCTTCACTGGAAGCACTCACAGTATTGGCTGGACTCAAAGACCTGGAGTCCTGGGAGTTAACCTTTCAGATAAATTAACTGGATTCTTTCCTAATCTGGATTCCATCTTATCCTACTATCTCCTCCAAGTCACTAGCTCCTCCCAGCCACAGAGCCAACACAGTAGGAAGCATCTTCTACTCTGAAGCTCCAAAGGCATTGCTTTGGGATACTGGTGAGGGTCATATAAGAAAAGTTATATAATGAGCTAACAGCTTAAGTTGACATAAATTATTTCCAAGTAGGTCATTCGGGGCCATTTGTCTGCTTTACACTACACTCCAAAATCATTTTCATATACTTTTAAAAGTTTATGTAATAATCATTCAAAAATTATCTATGCAATCCCCCTCTCTTGTATCTTCAATGAATTTAATAACAACTTAATGAGCTATTATGTAAAGCTAGGGAGAAGTATTTAATTAGTCTTAAGGAAGCCAATAGTGTGCTAATTCAGTTAGGAGAAAAAGCAATATAAATAGAATTTTACATAATCGACAACATGAATAGCAATTTTATCAAAATGTTGCAAATTTTTTTCCCAAAAGCACTTATGACAATTTATATTAAGAGATCCTATGTTCAGGAGTATGGAGGATACAACCCAACTCTTTAAGATATAAATTCACCTGTTTTATGATTGTAATACGTAATTTCCCCTCTCAGACCCAAGATATTTGTACATTCGAAAGTTCATAATTCGCTGTTCTTGAGACATTGCTCATTCTGTAATACATACATTGAATATAAATAAATAACTACAAGAAAGCTTCAAAAATCTGAACTGACATTATGCTGTGCAAAAAAAGGAAGAAAGAAAAAATAATAAATCTTGAGCAACCTACATTCTATGTAAATACCCTGACTAAAATGTTGGTTGTGCTACACAATTCTACTTCAGTGCAGAAAAGTGTTGATTTCGGTGTACCGTTGTTGTTTTTGATGTCTTTAGCACTTTGTTTCTAAACATCACCTTGCTTTGAAATGACAAATAATTTGCTATCCAATCACAAATCATCACAAATCCATTTTAGTTTTGTCTGAATAAATCCAGCATACATGTATTACTTCGTTTTGGGAATAATGGCTCGGTGTCTTTGTCCGACAGCTTTCTTCCTATGGGCAAACCATAGTTGAAGTTGTCATTTTGGGTTTAAACTGCACAGAAAGAAGAGACAGTGAAGCTTGCCTTTTGTTTTCTTTGTAAGTCTCCAGATCTTGCTGGGACATTTATTCCAGACCGACAGTCATATGGTTGTGGCACCTGATCCTATTTGAAATAGAAGTGGTTTAAATGCTGTCAGCCAAGTTTGGTGATCTGGAGGTCCCCATTTATCTTTATGGTGTCAATCGCAGATAACGTTTGAATGCGATGGTAAAAATCAAAGAGTTGATGTCCATCCACAAACACTCTGAAACGTGGGTGCTCACAAAGAATTTCCACCTGGAAGAAACAAAGTAATAATCTGAATTCACAATTTCAACAAAGCCTGCAAGGGAAGACAAACAAACATAACTTTATTTTAGAGGAAAAAAATGGCAACATCTTCAGTGATTCTCAAATATCAGAATGCACTGGAAAGAACCATAGAGGGGGTTAGTTAGAACAAATTGCAGGCCTTCACTCTCCAAATTCCCAATTCAGAAGGACTAGGGTGAGGCCTAAAAATTGACATTTCTACCAAGTTCCAAGGTAACAGTGATAAGGCTGAAACAGGGAACATACTTTGAGAACCACTACTCTACACTATTCAATATCCTTTAAAGGTTTTAAATTGCTCAGGCTTCGACATTTGTCTCTGCACCCCAGAAGTCAGTAACTAGCATAGATTAAGTTACATGGCATTTAATATCTCCATTACTATCCCCCAAACCCACTTTTAGAGGAGCCCCTCACAAGGCCAAACTGGTACCCATTACTATCATGTAATAATAGTCTAGACACTCAAACATGGTAACACTAAAGCAGAGAGAAGGTTATATAGTAATTACCTACAATGTGTAATTAACAAAGCTTTGTAAGCCAAACAGAAATACAAATTCCACATGGTAAAAAAAAGCTTTGTCTTCTCCTTTTTCTTAACATAAGTAATTCGCCATAAGTTTAATTATTGGTTCTGTGCTATGATGTATTTATTAAAAGCTCTGGTATTCACCATTGCAAGGGGAGACTCCATATGTGATATTAGTCACATTTAATTCATATTATTATTAAACTTGTATTACCAAGAAGGGTCTATTTCACTTTAATTTTGTTGTTGGGGAGCATTATATCCCTACTAGAAGTTCTGGTTGATCATACTCATGAGTGTGAAGATTCATCATTAGGAAACTTATAACAATCAAGAGGAGCCTAAGAGGACAAAACCATCCTACAGAAGAGGGTGGAGTGCCTTCCCCAGTCTAGGATTAGAAAGGCAATGATTTTAATTCTATCACAGATATGAAAGTCCTGGCTTCTTACTTCCCACCCAGTCTATAAAGCCTTTGAAAATTTCTAGATGAAGAGCAACATGTTAAAGGTTGATCAGGCAAATGGGAGTTTTTAATGAAGCTGCCATTATTGGGATGTGTGTGAACAAGATCTGATGAAGGAACTTCATCACTGCACGAAGTCTTTTTCTCCACATTACTGACATGCATCTCTTATTTGGCATTGTCCTTTCTAGAGGAAGGTACTGCTAATGCTGCTTGATTAGGTGGCAAGTTTGGGTTGTGTTTCCTGCCCACTAGATAGTGGGGAGCAAATCTATATTCTTCCAGGCCCAAGGGAAGAAATCTGTCAGCCACACAGCCTGTGACCATGAAATAGACAGAGGCTTGATTAATGCAGAGGGGGAAACAAGGACACGGACATGGCTTCATTAGCAAAGGAAACAAGAGAACATAAATGATAACCACCAAATTCTTTAAAATGTCTTAATGAATAAGGTTTCAAACTACTTAAAGGCTAAGGGAAAAAATGAGGAAAATTCTGGATACTTATTAATATGTATTAATCAGATATTTTGGGGCAGATATTTATTATATGCCTAACACTATGTTGGGTACTATATACAAAAGTATTTGCTAAATTAATACTTACCATAGTAGCTAAGTGTAGTAGTAGGTTTTTTCCCTTAACAATCTGAGTATGTAAATATGGGTGTAATAACTAAATATATGGGCTGAATAGAGAGATCCAAGTGCTACTCTGGGAGCATTAATTTCTATCAGCAAACAGAGCTCTTTTGATTCCTTTTCTTTTCCTTTTTTCATTTTATATATATATATATATATATATATATATATATATATATATATTTATATTTATTTATTTATTTTTAACCATTGGGTGACAAATTTCCTGGACATGCAGAAATTCTGGCTACTTCAATATTCTTGGCACACATGAGATTAGAACACCACCACCCTGCCAGTGGTTGTAGCTGAGGCGCTTGAGATACTTACCCTGAATGGCTGGTCTGGGATGAATGGAAAGTAAGGGATGGCTGATTGTTCTTCACCCCTTTCTCCAGATATACAAGAATTTCTAAGTAGCTGTCGGTCTGTGAACACAGCTTTGAGTTCAATTGCCACGTCAGCAGGAGGATCTTCAGAGTCACCACAGGTCAAGCTGATAGCAAAGCTGAAAACAAAGTGGTTTCATTTATTTGGGGCTGGATATTATAAAATGATCCAAGTTCTCCTCCTCTGGGTTTGTCTGTTTTTAATGGGCAACTACTCTTTTCATAAGAGATTAGACTATGGTGAAGAAGGACTACACTCAAACCAATTAATTTTGTTACCTAAAGTAGACTCTGGAGAAAACTTTGGTGGATGACTGAAATTACAAAAATCAAATACTAAATACCCTAAGCCACTCACACATCAGTGTATTAATCCATCAAAATTCTCAAAAACAGTCCCAGCAGTTGACTAGGGGAAATAATATCTTGTCAAGTTTGGTTCTTATTTATACTAATAGTTCTTGCTCCAAGCACCATGTTTCAAAACCATAAAAAAGGAGGAAAAATCCTTTGGCCTTTCTAAGGGTCAAAGAGAAAATGTGGGTCTATATTTATCATCTCTGATATAAATAGCTGTCTGGAGAAATGATGGCTGGGATTCATACACATTCTTTTCATGGGAACATGGTACTTTCTTGGCACTCCCAACTAGCAACACTGTCCACAAGGAGAGGAAGAAGAGGAAACTAAACCACAACAGGAGTGGGCAGGGCCCTGCCACTGCCTGATAGTTCTGCTGGTGAAGAGGACTCTGTCTTGACTTACCTTTCTGGGTTGAGATCTACAATGCCCATCACTAACACCTTCTTTCCTGGTCTCATGCCACCTTTAATGTGCCCACAAAATGGAACTATCTGCAAAGGAGGAGAGGAGAAACAGGAACTTTACAGGCTGTTAGAGAAGAGCCAAGCCCTCAGATCCTGAGAACCTGACCTAATAGAAAATGCAAGGAAAATGCAATTAAGAAAGGAAGGGGGTACAGGCAGAGACACGGAAAATAGAACAAAACCATTTACCAGTCGTGGGAAGTACACGTCTGCTTGAACCGGAGAGCCCAAGGAGTTGTTTAAATGCCCATCATCTAGTTTCTAAAAATAGAAGCATACAGATTGGCTTTCCACAGACCCTTTTTTTCTTAGAAGATGGGGGTGGGGGCACCTACAGAAATCTAGCAGAATCCAGCAGTCCTCCATAGACACACAAGCAGTGTCTGCAGATGATGCCTCTTTATAGCCCATTAATAACCGCATAAACCCTCAGAACAAAACCCATCCTTTCTGTCCGGTAGCTAAGACTCCAAACATCCCCAGACCCCTTCAAATCCAGATCAAATTCAAGGTCGGGGCCCACCAGGGAGCCAGAACCTGGTGCAGGGGAAGGGCAGGCCCTCTCCAACCACAAACGTTTTTGGAACCGCTGTCTGGCAGGCCTGTCCTCGGGGACGTGGCTGAAGTGGAGTGGCAGTGCTCAACTTGTCTCTGGAGCCCGGGGAGAGGACCCATTTTCAAGGGGGAATCCCGGGGACGTCTGGAGCCGGTCGCGGGGCGCGCGCCCCGACACACTCACCCTCGCGCACACTCACACGTGCAAAAGTGCACACACCTGGTCGGCGGTTGTACAGACACCGAACCGGCTGTCGGGCACCTCAACCCTGCAATCTCCCCCAAACCCTCCCCCAGTCCAGCGCCCTCTGTCCGGGAAAGCTCCTTCTGGCCGGAGTGCACGGCCGGCTCCTGCTAACAGGTACCCGGCGCCTTCCCACGCGGGGGACGCGGGGCTGGGCCTGCAGCTTCTATCCGCCCCAGCTCCGGCTGGAGCAGGCGGCAGCGGCATGCGGGGCGGCGGGAAGGGGGCGCCTCGCGTGCACCCCGCCACACTCACCACCACGGCATCACTGTCGGCCACCGATCCCGCCATGTTCTTGCACTGCGCAGTGGGGTACACCGCTGGCGGCCAGGCAGCGGGGGTCGCGGGACGCTGCGCGCGGGCGGGGATCCCGGGCCGGTCCTGCGCTGAGTGGGGGCGCGGGTCCGAGGCTGGCGCGGGCGCGCAGACACTCGCGGGAGCGCGCGCGCGCACGCCCGGGGGCCCGGCGCCGACCCGGCAGGCAGGGCCCTAGAGCAGGGGGAGGGGAGGGAGAGGCGGCGCGGGCCAGGAGGTCTAAGGTGGCCGCTGCTGTTGGGACCTGGACTGCGGCTGGCGAGTCGCGGTTGGCGCTGCTGCCGTTGCCGGTGCCGGTGCCCAAGAAAGAAAGGTGGCGAAGGCCGCGCCGTGCAGGTCCTGGGTGGCATTTAAAGGCCACCGGCCCCGCTCGGGAACCGGGAACAGGGCGGGGACCCGGCTGGGCTGCCGCGGCTTGCTCAGCTTGCCCTGCCCCTCGGTCATTGGACAGTGGCGGGAGGCCGGGGCAGGAGGGACGGGCCAGTCCAGGTCGGGGCGTGCGGGAGGGTGGGGCCCGTGTCGGCGATCCGGGGCGGGAAGGTGGGTGGGGCTGGGGGACTGGGAAAGGGAGGGCCGGGACCTGCCAGGTGACAGGTGCTTAGGACACCCCTGCCGCTCCCGTCCTGCCTTCTAATCACTAACCCCCCTTGCTACTGCCGCATCCTGGGGGCCGGTGAGATGGTGAGAGGCGAGGTCGAGGGAAGATCGGGGAGAAGGGGAGCATCCCAGAGCGGGAGGTCAGTTTGATTTCTTTCAGAGATTGCCAATCAAGTGAGAGAAAGATTCATTGGGCTGTCTAGGGTAGAAAGAGAACGAAAGATCTCAAGGCTTGCAGAAGTAAATATTTGACCCTAAAGAAAGAGGCAAGGAGACCTCAAGGTAGGGTGTTTTCTGTCCCGTGGGGCCAGACACCGGCTAGGCCTCGTTTCCCTGTGGAAACATGGGCGGTCTGGGCGGTCCCTTGAGGCTCTTTCCAGCAGGCCTCTGGCTAAGTCGTTGCAAATACAACTGGACTCCGAGACCCCCTCAGAGAGCCTCCACAGGGCCCTGTTTTGTTTTTTTTAAAACAAATCAGTTGCCCAGTTTGGGGGTTGTAAATTTCTCTCTGAAAATCTCTAACGACCTTTGTGGAGTAATTCCTAGGAGATACACCCCTCTTTTATTCTACAGCACAAATTCCAAATGGCATTTCCACATCAGGATGGTTATGTAACTTCTCAGATAAAGCTGTATTGACGTACCCTTTATTAGGTGACGTCTTGGCTTACACATTCCATTGTATGAATCACTGGGGTGTTCTACACTAATAAGCAGGGAACATATGTGACCTACTGCAGTCCCAGAGGACCTCAGAAGCTCCCTTCCAGCCACTGCTACTGGCTGCATGGCCCAAAACATCACTGCAGCTTTGTGTCTTAGTTTTCCTTTTATGGACCAGAGCTAATCAGGTAATCTCAGTTGCACAGTAAGAATTACCTGCACACACCTGTAAGCCACAGTCCTTTGTGGAAGTGGTTCCCTCATTAGAGGCTGAAGTGCAGTTGTAGCTCACATTTTTACTCCTGTTTAACAGTCTTAGCTCAAATCACACCTATTATTCTAAAATTGTAGGCAGTTAAAGGAAGCTTGATGTTTGAAAGTACTTTGATATATCTCAATTTCTAAGAGTCTGGAATAGGGGAAAGAACATTAAAGTTGCTCTTTGTCAATAGCTAAGCATACATCTTGGTGATTAAAGAGCTGGTGCTTTGGGTTCAAATCCTTCCTCTACTATTGACTAGCTGGGTGATTACATGAGTTACTTCATCTGTATCTTCTCTGGACCTTAGTTTCTTCACCAGAGATGATGATGATGATGATGATGATGACAACTAGGATGATAATGCCTATCTTGGGTTAGCTGTGATGATTAAGTAAATTGGTTCCATAACCTTCTTTAAAATAGCACCCGGCACATTGTAAGCACTTACTCTACCAAAGTTCAGGCAGATGGCAAGCACTGGGGTTCGCAGAGACTTTTTTGTCAAGGTTAAATTCCAGTGAGGAAAGGCAAACAATGGACAAATATGTAATATGTCAGGTGGGGAAAATGTTAGGAAAAAATAATACGACAGGTAAGGAGGGCGAGAGAAGTAGCATGATGCTGTTTAAGTAGGGTGGTCAGGGAACCATCTCTGATAAAGTGACATTTGAGAAAATCCCTGAAGAAAGGAAGGGAGGGAGGGAGTCATCTGGACCTCTGGAGGAAAAGGTTGCTGGCAGAGGGAACTGCAAGGGTGATGTCCCCAAGGTGGAGTGAATGGAGAAAACATTGGGGCAAGGGTCCAGAGGCTGGTGGGTAGTTAGGTGTAGATAGGCCTTGGGAACTGTGGTGAGGACTGGCTTTTACTGTAGGGAGATGGGAAGACATCAGAAGCTGTGTAGAAAAGAGGGACAGTTTGCCTTCTGTTGTAGATGCCTCCCTCTGGCTGCTGTGTGAAGTGACCTTTGGGGAAAAGGTATTATATAGGAGAGAGGGGAAAACAGGATTTAGGTCACTCCTGCACCATTCCAAGGAAGAGGTAATGGTGGTTTAGACATAGTAGAAATGCTAAAGATGTGAGGACACTGTGGGCCCTTGATAAGTCCTACTTGTCATAGAGAATCAATAGTTCATACCCCTTATGGGTCTCAGTTTCCTTACTTGCAAGATTAAGGGGGTGAGCTCATTCACCATTCCCTTTCAGCTCTTTGAAAGTTCTTCTGAAAACCTGTGTAAATGCCGACTAAATTTTAATGGGTTTGAGAGTAGGTGCTAATGAATGAAAGTAATCTTGGGTAATAAGTAGTTTTGTAAGGTGAAGAATAACCCTCTGATTTGTTTTGTTAGTGAAGGTGAAGATACTTGGATTGTTGAAGATGATTTTCTTACACTTAAGGAATGTAAAGAATAGCAAGGTACTGAACCTTCCCAGAATATCCAGAATATTTTAACATGGAAAATTGTCTTTTATTCTAAAAATGCTTGATTACTTCTCAGTCTACAGAATGGTTAATTTTGCACATGGTGAGCATAGAGAAAGCCTAAAAGAAAAAAGCCATTATCGAATTAATGAACTATAGAGCTTAAAAAACGTTTTGCTTTTTTGAGTTGTAAAGTGAAGGCAAACTATGCTTTGATTACAGGCATTTGTATCTAAAAACATTAATGAAGATTGTGACCCACGTATGAACTACAACTGAAATTTCATGATGAACTATATTTCTACTGGAAAACCACTAAAACAGCTATCAAAGGGGAGAGGGCAGTCAACCATGATTAACAGTGAAAGAAGAATAAACAGGTATTTGATGATGGACTTTGCTAAATGATCTTCCCTGTTAAAAATAGTAGCTCACTTCCTTCTTCTCATGTTATATGTTTTATTTAAATGAATGCGCACAGAATTTCTAATATTGAGAAGAGAATGAAGCACTGATGAATGAATCATTTTATCAGCATTTCTGTGTGCAGTGTTACCATGGACCAAGAAGAAATACTTGCAAATGTTTCCATCAAGAACCTCTAACATGAAGAACAACCTGTCAGGGCCCATGTGGGTGTAGCTACCAGCTCAAAATGTCCTTGTAATATTGAATATAATATTCTATGCATTTCAGACATTCCATTATGATGCCATGTTTATTTATATACAAATAAACATAATGTACTCCTCACAACTAAACCTTTAGTAAAATTGAAGCATCCCAAATGTTTATTTCTGACCGGAAGACATTGACTCCTTCCCTGCCCTAAGCCCCAAAGGGTGGTTGTAGCCCACTTTGAGAAATAAGACCCCGCACAGTGTTAAGTTCCATTGAGTCTTTCAGATCTCCACAATTGTGTTTGCTGAGCTGGTCTCACGATCAATATTTATGTAGGAAGTAAAATACATAGAATCAGCATTCTTTTGTTTACTTAAGTAGGAGGGCAATCATTTAGCAAGCTATTTTTCTATACTTCAAAATATGATTACAGTTCTTAATTATTTTCGGAACTGCAGTCATACTTACCAAATAATTATTTAGACACACAAATTTGTGTTCTACCAAAGTAATTAGGGGCCAGCCATAAAACTTGGCAGTCAATGACAGTTCCCAACATTTCATTATTTTCGGTTTATTTACGAGGAAACTAGAACCAGCCTCCCTGTGTGTGTTTTAATTACTCGGTCCAGGAAGGATTGACTTTAGAAAACCTCTTGGTTAAGAAGATAATCAGGAGCCCATTCCCAGAAGGAGCTCAGAGCTTCAAAGGTGCCCGCAGCTCCATGTCCCGGGGGTGTCACCGTGGGACCTTCAGCATGCCTGAGAAGTCCTCGCTGGAGCCACCCGCTTCCCCGAAGACAGCTCTCTTCTGTGAGAGGTAACAAAAGCCCCGACGACCACAGCGAGCAGAATGGGTTCTGCTGAGAGAAACAGAGAGCCCTGCATCCAGCGCTCAGACCTGGCAGCATGAATGAAAGATATTTTAAGACTCTTTTCAGCGGGGTTTGTGCGTATACTGAGTCAACAATGTGCTTCTGCCACGTCTTCGCAGCCTCACCTTCCAGCGATTCCAAGAGGCGGATCTGTCCATCAGCCAGTCTTTTACCCAAGAGGAATGTGACAGGCCTGTGAGGCGGGGCCCGGGGCCTAATTACGCTCTTCTCATTGTTGCTTTGACGCTTCTGTTTTCACTTGCTGGCGTATAGTCCTCCCTTTCATTGCCTCTGTGATTTTATTTTCTTGTTGTCAAGTGGCATAAAGGGCTCCTTAGTTTTGGAGTTTCATGGAAACTTGCCTGGCTTGGCTGGGTGGAAGGAGACCAAGATTCCGATTCAGCAGTGATCTGAAAGCCCTGACTGACTGGGAGGAAAATAGGAGGCAGGCTGCCAGGTGGGCAGTTGCATTTTAGAGGAAACATTTAGTGACACGGATTTTTGGCCTTCTTAAAAGGTGAACTACACAGAACGGGAGTTAATGCAGCACAGCTTTGGAACAAACTACCATCCAGAAGGGGCCTGGGAATTTAAGTTTGGCATCCAAATTTGACTACCAAAATAATTCAGAGAAGAAGACATGCTTCGTGTATTCAATTTAACAACTCTTCATTGAGCTGAAGCTCTTAGTTGCCATTTTTATAATTTTTTTAACTTTCTTTAAAAAAAAGTTACCTACATACTTGCACTTATAGCATGTCGATATGTATTTCTTAAGGGTCTCTCTACTATGCTAATGTTAGGGCTGAGGACACACCATCCCAAAATATGGCTGTAGAACAGAATAATATGATGCCCCAAAATACATATCTTTGACGTAATTTGAGCTGATTATTCTGAGAAATTTCAAGAAGGAGTAGCTCTGAAAAGCTGTCCCTTTGTAAAGGAGATTTACATCTATAAAGGAACTCTGTATCAGTAAAGTATCTGTCTGGACGAAGATGCTCTAGACAACTTTTGTCACTGTAGAGTCACATTTGCATGCCTGGAGAACCTTTATTTACAGTGCATATCCTGCGTCACCTTCCTGTAACTTGTGTGGCTACAATTTTCCAGGAGCCACAAGTTTCCCTAGTTTGGGATGCTACGTAAACATCACTCAGTTGCACTTTCTTTGAGCCTCAGATTTTTGTGGGACTCTTGTGGGTATGTACCTAATTAAATATGGGTTTTATTCTTTTAAGTTGTTTTATGTCAGTTTAATTCATAGCCCAGACTAGGAAGGTAGAGGGAAGCCATTTCCTCCTCACCTACATTCATGTTATAGATTCCTCTTGTGCACACTGACTCTTCTAGGTGACAATAATCAGAATGGATCTAAAAGCTTCCTTGGCAACATAGCCCAGAAAAAAAAAAGATATTATTAGAATTCAGGGATTGGTTTCAACCCATTTCCAATCAGGTTACATGTTTTCTGTCATGTTATTTGATGTTATTCATGTTATTTGATGCATGTTGATTTTCATCCTGAATTGTTCCAGTGATTTATGTATTTCATAGAGAAAAATTAAGAGGTAAAGAAAATATTATCATCATTATTATTTTGTGGTCCTGGGGGTCTAATCGAGGACCCTGTGCATGATAAATACATGCTTTTATCAATTAGCCATACCCCCAGCCCCCAAATATTTAAACTTATGATAGAAGTTCACATTGGCAGTCTATATTGATTAAACTCATCGTATGCCATTCATTCACAGATGTTGGCCTTTGTTGGCTCAGTGTTGCTCTTAAACCTAAGATTGGTTGGAACTCTGTAAATTCAGCAAGCTTTGGACTGAGAACCACGTTTTAAAATTGCTTGGGGTGTGTATGTGTGAGTGTGTGTGTGTGTGTAAGTAAGTTCTGGTCTTTCAGAAGGCCAATATTCATCCTTTTTTTTTTTTCTTTTTAATGCTATAGCCAGGACAGGTAGAAAAATGTATATCATCCTACTTCAAGCCAAAGTAACAGAGCTAATTATTGTTCTAGAGAACTTACAACTGAGGATTGACATTGGATGATTTATATAGATTATCTAATACCAGCTGATATGCTATAAATGGAAATGAGAAGGAATGAGCTTAGTGAGAAAAGAGGATGAGTAGAATTTCTGAGGATGGGGAGGATGTGCGTGCTTTCAGGTCTAGTGCTGATTTTAATCTAGAGTGTTGTTCATTCTTGGTGTTACAAGAGGTGCTCATAAAACAGCCATGGGTTCACCCAAAAGCCCTTAGTAATTATGACACAGTGCTAAAATAGAGCATCACCCAGGAATGGAAGCGTGCCCGCACCTTTTAGTAAATTGTTATTCATTTTCCTTCTTTAGTGTTGAGTTTGCATTTAGTCAGTGTGATTTTTAAAAACATCAATCATGAACCCTCCTGAAAATCATCAGGGAAATGGGGAGGAGGGTCCTCTTGGTGTTTAGAATGAAATTCTAATTCCTGTCCATGCCTTCAAGGCCCTGCAGGGTCTGGCTTGCCTCTCCAACTTCACCTGGGGGCCGTGCTCTGTCCTGCTCACACTCTCCAGCCAAAACTGGCTTCCCTGGCATTCTCCCAACAGACAGGTTCTGTCTTTCCTCCAGTGCTTGGCATTGGCTCTTCCTTGGGCCTGGAATGTGCTGCCTCAGGCACTTTTTTTGTTTTTGCATACTTAAATTATTAGCTCAAATGTCACCTCTTGTGGGAGGCCTTCCCTAATACACTCCAGCCCAGACTTCACTGTGTCCCCGTGGAATATTTATCTCCATCTGCAATTGTCTTTTTTTATTACTTGGTGTGGCCTTTCCACCCCACAGGGTAAGAGCCTTGAGAGCAGGATGGCTGTGAGAACTGGCATGAAGTTCTATCGTTTGAACAAATGAACTGATGAATAATGGATAGCCACGGTCGGTCTGTAGATGAAATCCAACCTCATGACTGTGAAGACTCCAGGGTCCCCAGGCTGGAGTCTACTCATTTACTTCCTGTTTCACAGCCTAAGAACAATTCTCCTTGAATTGCCCCTGCACTCAGGTGTCCTTCCCACCCCGAGGAGACTGAACCCAGCCGAGGGGTTCTCCATTAAGTCCACATTAAACATTAGCCAAAGTTGTTGGACCTAAATTTAAAATGTCTGAAAATAGCCTTGTCAGCAATGAATAGTTATATTCATGGTATTATAATTCTCTCATTTTGATTGGCTAGATCTCAGGCTCTTTAGAGTACCTTGATATGATCACAAGCATCTTCTCCAAAGAGAGATGAGCAGTGAAGATATTGCCTTTCCAGATTGCTTCTTTAATTTTATTTAACAAACACTTGCACAGTGTTCGCTGTGTGGCATGCCCTTCTCTCAATACCTGACATAGGCTGCCACAGGTGGGGTTCTCTGGAAGCAGCAGTGGAGACAGGGCTTGGGTGTGAAGTGCTTATAGGGATTAACACCTTTGAGGGGAAGTTAGAGCAACCTCAGCCAACCAGCTGGGAACTGGAGGCAAGGGTTGCAGGACCAGGCTAAAGGGCCCAGCTTCTCCCCACCCATGTCACTCAGTCACCAAATTGCTTCCCCAGGAAGGGCGTGGCCTCGGGCAAGGCAACTGTCTGCAGCTGGGACAGATAAGTTGCTGAGAGCTGGAGGAGCTTCCTGACCACGCTCTGGAGCTGAGCGGCAAGTCCCTTCTTGAAGCAGGATGGGGACATCGCATGTCTGTCTGCTCAAATAGGAACTCTTTTGACCCTCGTAAAAACCTCTGAGGTAGGGCCTTTCATTATTCTCATTTATAGACGAGAAGACTGAGGTGTGGAGAAATTAGGTAGGAGAAATTAGGCAGAACTATGACTTGGCCCAGGCAGTGCGGCTTAGGAATCAGCCCTGTCTTCCACTGAGAGATGCTGTCTTGTTACTTCATAGGGATTAAGAATAGCCCAATAAGAACAATACAACATTGACTGTGCTTTGACATTGTGAAGGGCACTCACTTTAGTGCTTTCGTTTTTGATTTAGTTCTTTATAAGGTTCTGTGAATGTGTGTGTGTGTGTGTGTGTGTGTGTGTGTGTGTGTCTGTCTGTCTAGTCTGGTGCATTTATTAAAAATGACATCAAAAGGTGATAATTTAGGGTTGTCTATTGCATTCAAATATTAAACCCTACCAATAAAAATCAAAGAATTGAGGCTAGAGGCTTTAGAGACAATGACTGAGCTTGAATCCCAGGACAGGAAGGCATGCGCTGGGGTTCTTAGGTGGGCCTGGGAAGAGAAAAGGTCCACCTTGAAGTTCAGGACCACAGAGAGAGTAGGTGGAAGGAAGGCTGTAAAATGCAGGGTGAGGCTCTGCCAATCACAGGAGTGGAGCATTAGCAAAAAAAAAAAAGAGCCAGAGGGAAAGGCAGGTAGCACTCTGAGGAGCGGGTAAAGGAGGAGGCAACAGAGCAGAGTACTCTTCAGAAGAGGCTGAAGACAATTCAACACTGTGAAAGGACTAAGAGGCCTGAAGAGGAGGAGGACAAAGTGGCATCGGGCTGCTCCTCAGAGTGGAGATGTATGGGCCTGGGCTGAAGAGGGGAGGAAAGAGGAAATCCAGTGGCAGTAGAACATGTTTCCATCACCATGGAATTCGATTTCTGTTCTCAACACTGGGCTTAGGTAAAGGAGAGATCGAACATGGCAAGTTTTACTAGCATGATTCAGGAAACACATTTCCGCTTAATCTACCATTTCTTTTTACTTAGAAGAGTTTATGCAATAAAAGTTATTATCCTTAAGCCTTTTTACTCCCACAGGGTTAACTGGTTTCACATTCTTTTTTCCGGAGTTTGGTGAAATTCCCTCTTAGAGCTCAATAGAGAAATTCTGTTTTAATCCTTTCCTACTTTTATTTGTATATAAAATATGGTCCAAAAGGCTGGAACAAAGTCTCGGTAGTAAGTGCTCTTTGTAAAAATAGTCAGCAGGGATAAAGTTCAGCAACATGACATATAAACAGGCCAAACTCTGAGCCAGGGGGATTAAAGGACTCTTCATGGGATCTGAATAAAGGTTATTCTTGCTACTGAACTGATTATGTCACCGTGGTTGACCCTTATATTAACAGGTTTTTTTTTTTCCTTGTGACATCTTCTTTCACATCCTCTTATGGATATTCTAACATGATTTATTTATTTGCCTATTTTTGTAACACATAAAGCCATTTGATAAACTTGCTCATGGCTCACAGTATAACACTACTCTAAATAATTCACAAGGCAAAGCAAGGTCGGGGGTGTTTAAAAAGTAATGTACAGCAACTGCAGGAGAATACAGGATGCCAAATGTTCATCTTGCTTAGAGTAATTGCTCAAACTCATTTATTATACTAAACCAAACTGGGAGAATGTGAAGAGACGCAGCGCCTCTGGAGCATAGTATATTTCTAGTTCCATCCGCTTGAAGACCAGCTTGGTTTCAGAGAAGCAGGGTTGCTTCTTAGTTTATATTTGGGGTGGGGACAAATAACTTCTTTCTGGACTCTGGCATTTCAGAAATCTGACAGATCTTATGAAGGCAGAAATGAAGTAAGTGTGGAGGAGGAGATGGCTGCGGGGATTGCGGCAATGGTGGGCTTGAAGTCTGATGCTGACCCTTCGATGATTCTGATTTGCCTTTCTGCAGTCACTTTTCAGCTGCACATGGTTTGTGGGAGCCAATGAAAGTAACGCGTATCTGGGGAACACAAAAAAGGTAGCTATGTCAGGACTTTGAAGGGCTTCTATTCAATCACTGGCCACTGCATTCAGAAGCCACACCTGCTTCCAAGACACACTTCTCTTCAAGGAGCTAGATTCAATATCAAAAAGTGAACTAGTTCATAAAATGCTTCACTCACCAATGTCAAAATATGAAACGTCAAAGCATTTGTGAAAGTGCAGGGGTCACAGGGTATGGCTAGTTTCTTTCCAGCATGGCTATACCAACTTAATATTCCCATGTGTGTTCTCTACTCAGCTGAAACAACCTTAGGACAAATTCATTTTCCCTCTTTAAAACACAAAAACAAAAATGTAATAGCCATGCCACCAAAATTTAATCTCTAAAAACTTTTCTATAGAAATTTCTAGAGAAATTCTAAAAAACAAATTTCTCTAAAAAATTTCATAGAGGGGTGTGTTTACTTGGTCATAGATGGATCTTAAATTAATTTGATGGGCAACCAATGTGGACCCTCCTGTATCTGTGTCCTGTGATGCAGCGACACATACTCTTCAGCTCGGCATTGTTCTAGAATTACCTGTACGGTTCTTTCATGAGATGACATTCAATCCACACAAAGAACGCAAGGTCAAAAAGGGCTGGAAGGGAAAGTGAGTGTGGCCCATAAAACCAAGAGGTACTTAAGATTTAACAAGATTAACATGTGCTGTTGAAAAGAGCTACCTGGCCTGAGTCACGGGGAAGTGGGGGAATGCCAGCTCACTGTTCAGTTCTCTGGGTTTTGCTGTCACACCACACAAATGGAAAGCTCCAGAGAGCCTTGCATGGAGCTGTAATAAAAACTCTTTGGAAAATAATCAAATGATCGTAGCTTTAATAGTTATTTTTCTTGGACCTTTTTGAGTCATTCTTTTTCACTGACCTGGTTATTTGCTGTTAACATTTCTTTTGTCTGCCTTGTAGGGAAGCTTATATCTGAAGCTTGCCCAGTTTCTTAAGTCCAAATCATTCAGAAAACAGAAAATTCAAACTGGACTCTTTTGCAACAATTTCCACTAAAAAAATCTATAGTGGATTCATCAACAGGAAGTGGAGGGAACAATCCTTGCCCTTCTGGGGCTGTGTCTAACTGCATGAATGAGTGGAACTCACTAAATTATATGCAAAACTCATCACTCAAATGCCTACTAATCTTTTTGTCCCTGGGCAAAGCAGTTTTTCCACATCATTTTAGCTTTCATGGCAACTACCATTTTTAGAACACCATATTTTATATGTTGAAAGTCAGCTTTAAATGCTGTATAACTGGATGATCCCAGGAATGTCGAGTAATCTGGGTATAAGCAATTTTTTAAATGCTACATATAGAAGAAACTTTCAAAGATATGCTAGGTGCATATGTGCATTACAATACAGGCAGGTAAACAGGCCATGGATGCTTATTTAGATGCCTATTTAGGTCCTTGATTTGGGGTTCTAGCCATATAGAAAACATAAGTGCTCTGCCTGCCAGGGTCAGTATCTTGGTACTTTCGTTGTTCTTTTTTTTTTCCTTGCAAACAGGACTTATTCAGGAATCAGTGGCAATTTGTCTCCTAAAAAGCTCTATTCTCCAGACTTCCTGATGTTCAGGGAGTTCTGTAATTTAATTCTGGTCAATGAAATTTACATGGAAGCCTAATTGATGAGCTTTCAGAAAAGCCCCATAAAAAGTTGACATGTGCCTTTTGCTCTTTGTTCCTCCTTTTTCTGTCTTCCTGAGATATGGACCTGGGGAGGATAGAAGCTGTGTGCTAATAATGGCTGAGCAGAAAGGTAGGAGGACTCTAGTCCTTGGTGGTGTCAAAGACCATTGAACGGCCAGACCTGGAGCCACCTTCCAGACTTCTTATTCAAGAGAAATAAGCCACTTATTTTAGGCATCACAGACAAATTTCTATTTCAAGTCACTGAAACAATGATACATGATACCTAATTTCCACAGAGTGGGGTGTTTACCTATAGTGTCCTGGTTCTGAATAAGAGTGACTCAATTGGTCCCCAGAAGTAACTGCACTTAGAGTCTGAGGAAGACTGATTTTCAAACATCCCAGTGGTTTGGTTAACCAAAGAAAGAAAGAAAGCTCTGAAATTCCCCTCTTAATCCTCTTAAACCTTGAGTTGCTTTCAGTGGTCACTGTGACCCAAATGGCAAGAAGTGCCTGCCATATTTATTTCATAGGTTTCCCCACCCCCAGCACTCCAATCTTGTAACTTTCTTCAGTAAGCAAATGAGATCACCAAGAACCAAAATCAGTTTCTTAACCTGCAATGCCAAATACAACTACTTACTGTGTGCACCCTGTGAGCATGCATGTGAATGTGTGGGCACATCTGTTCTTCATACCTTTCTTTAGCTTTGGAGGAGAACCTAGACTTTCTTTTAAAGTTAAAGTTCTAGTCCAAATCATTTTAGTTTGGTAAATTGAAGTGGACATGTGGTTGGAGAGCACAAGTATCCAGAGTGGCGGGCCCTTTCCATCTCCACACAGAAAAGAACAAGACCTGTTGGTAGAATAGTGAGTAGTTCCATCTGGATGGGGCCCATGCATGACAGGTGAAAGGCAGACTGGGGCCTGATTGTTGGTTGCCTTGAGGTCAGGTTTGGAGTTTGAAATTAATTCTGGAGCTAGCTTTTCCCAAAGGCTTCCTCAGAACTCTAGGACAATGAGATGTTAAACAAAGAAGGTTCCATGGTCAGATAAATTTGGAAGCTGTCCATGGTATCTCTCCCTCTTGAAATTCACACTGTATAATTGCATGCTAAAGGCTGAGAATATCTTCATTAAAGAAAATGGTTAAACTTAATCCAAGATTCCTCCCCCAGATAATACCTGTTAGCAGGTACAGTTACAGGCTTAACTCAATTTCTATTAAGATCTCAGAATTAAGTTTTGTGTATATAGGTAAGTATTCAAAATTTTATGTCAGAAGGCTAAGAAATAGTTAAAACAATTTTGAAAAAAAAATTAGTAGGAAGAATTAGTTACTGGATTTCAAGATGTATTATACAGCTAATGTAATCAAG